GGGGAGGGAGGGAGAAAGATGAAGATGGCAGGTAGTGCCGGGAGGCGGAACACCGCCCGTGAGCGGAAGTTAGAGAGCGCAGGAAACGCACGCGGCCGATGCCGGGAAGTCATGCCGGCCAGATGCGCATGCAGCATATCCCGACGCTCCGAGTCACCGAGGACCGTCGTCCCAGCGCAGTGCTGCCGGTACCGGCTATCTCGCAAGAGGCGGGCCAGATCCGGGTGCAGCCCCGGTGTAGTCCCATCGGATTGCTGGGCGGTCGCCTCCGCTCGGGCCAGCAAATCGCGCTCGGAGGTCCACTCGATGTCCTCCCCGCCACGGATGTAGTCCACTAGCAGGGCACGGAAGGTATCCACTGCCAGGCGCCGAGTGGCACTCTCAAGCGAGGCACCCACAGCACGGTCCTGGCGAGCGCGCGAGACCTCCACCGTCCGGGCACGCTTGGCCAGCGCCTGGGCCTCGCTGTGGAACAACCAGACGCACAAACAGCCGGGGGAAAAAAACGCGTCAGTGAAGCCTGGGTGAAGGAAGAACAAGAGGGGGTGGAAGAGGGCGAGATATGGATGGATACATAGGGAGAGGGGGGAAAAAAGAGAGAAGGAAAAAGAGAAAGTGGTTCCACCCAGGACCATGCAGGCAGCTAAAGAACGCACAGGTGCTCGCGCTGCCTGCGCCTCTCCTCGCGCTGGCGTTGCTCCACCGCCTCGGTGGCCGATTCCGCTGCCCGGACTCGCGACGTCGGGTCAGCCATGAATAGGTCGTACAGCCGGGCAGCCGGCGCAGGCGCCCCGCCCGAGACCAGGGCCGCCTCTTCGGCCGGATCCAAGTCGGCATGCGTATCCAGCAGGCGACCGAAGCGTGCATCCGCCTCCAGGCGCCGACGCGCGCGTGGCCAGGAAATCGGCTCCATCTCGCCACTGGGCGCCGGCTCAAACAAGTGTGCCAGATGCTCATGCAACAGGTCCAGGAAGCCGCCCTCGGCATCGTGGAAACGCTGCTCGCGCGCGCTCGGCCGCCGGCCGCCCAGACGCAAGAGGGTGTGGCTCGGGTCCCGGGCCGGCCGACTGGAGGAAGTGGGCCGCCCGGCGGCCGAACCAGCCACGCCCGAGGCGGATCCCCGGCTCGGGGCCATCACCGGCAAGCCCATCTTCCGGCGGGCTTCATTTTGGAAATCCTCAAACAGGCGCTCGGCCACATCACGCTCACCGAAGCGCGGGTCGCCAGATGCCCAGCGCGAAAAATCCCGGAAGGAGGTCAACCCGGCCGTGACTCGACCAGCGGCCTCATGCTCCCGGATCAGCGCCTGGAATTCCCGTTCCTCATCGAGAGTGGGACCCGGACGAGGGGGGGCCGCCGCGACCGCCGGCGTACCGCCCGACCGGCTGACCTCGCGACAGTACTGATCGAAGGCCTTCTTCTTCTCCTTCAGCGAAGGGACAGCTGTGCAGCAGTGGGATAGTCGGGGAGGAGGAGGGGGGGGGGGGAGGGGGGACAAAGGAAAGCGTCATGTGGGCGCCGGCGTCAGAATGGCCACTCGGTGGGCGATCCAGCAGAAGTGGCGACCAGGGGGACAAGCGAAGGAAAGAGGGCACGCACTGTGATACCGCGGATCGGCCATCAAGTGGGGGATCTCCATGGCCCAATCGGCGAAGGGGGACACCCCCCGATCGCGGAGCATCTCCTTGAAGGCCACATACCGATCGGCCGGGTGAGGTGCCCGCGGCCGGCTGACGGGGCCCCCGGGCGCGTGTCCCATGCCAAAGGCGCCGGCCATGGACTGGGGCTGGGCCACCTCGGCCGCCCCCGGGCCTGATGCTGCCACCGCCGCCGCCTGGGCCGCCTCGGCCTCCTCCCAGTCGTCGCGGAAGTCGGCCTCGGCCTCCAGCTCAGCCAGCATGGCTGCCTCATCGAAGTCATCCTCGACAGAGGCATCCTCAAGATCGCCGGCAGCCTGACTCGGGGCATCGGGCTCTTCAATGGGGGAGTCTCGGGCCTCTTGAACCTCGGCGCCAGTGACGCCAGGCTCCTGGGCCGCAGCAGCTTCTTGGCGGTCGGGGGCATCCTCCGCATCGCCGCCATTGGTGCCAGTAGCTGCGTCCTTGTCATCGGCGCTGGCCTTGGTCGTGGCATCTGACAGCCCGCCGCTCTTCTCAATATCATACGCGATGACCTGGGGGGGGGGGGGGGGGCGAGTGGGGCCAAAGGTCAGGACAGATGGCTGTACCACACCCATCCGCATAGGTGGGCAGGGCTGGCGGAGAGGGGGAAATGACACGCACCGCGTCGCGGATCTCGGCCGGGACACTCCAGTGGGACTGTTTGGTCGGCACATGGAAGAAGTACCGACGCCCATGGCTGGTGTTGACAATGCGCCACTCGGTGCCGCTCAGATTATGCCTGTGTCATGCGCGCGAGAGGGCGATCGGGGGAGGGGCGCGCGGGACGGCGGCGCGGCGAACAGGGGGAGGAGGGTGGAGCCGGGGCGACACGGTCAGCGTCCAGGTCATTGTGTGGCGGGAGCCCAACCAAGGAGGGTGGCACGGACTGGGAGATCGGCCTTTCGGGCTTGGAGGTATCGATAGTGGCAGCGGCCCCGGGAGCGGCGGCCGGCCGGTTGCCAGCACCCGGCCGGGTGCCACCCCCCGGCCGCGGGGTCGCCTCCGCCCTGGGGCGCACGGACACAGGCCCCGCACCCGGGCCAGGACCATACATGTGCCCGTGGGGCGGGTGCTGCGGGTAGCCGAATTGCGGGTGCGGGTAGCCGAACTGCGGGTGCTGCTGCGGATAGTGCTGCGGATAGTGCTGGTAGGGGCCGCCGTAGCCTGGGGCAGCTCCCATCGGCATGAAGTGGCCGGGGTGAGGCTGACCTGCGGCCGGATAGAACGCGCCCCCGGGGGGGGCATAGTAGCCAGGATACGCCGGGCCGGGGCCTGGCGCCATGCCGTGCTGTGGATGCATCGGTGGGGGAGCCTGGCCTGGCGCGCCGCCAGGTGGCGGGCGTGGAGGAGGGTGGGACATGCGCGCGTGCGTTGAAATCGGCGAAAGGGTGGCGGGAGACAGAGGCAATGGAGATAGGTGAGGGAGAGGAGTAAGAGGAAGGGCGGAGGGAGGGAGAGAGAGAGAGGGAGGGGGGAAGAAGAGACAGGCCGAGCAAGTCCCGCGGAAGGTGCGTGTCTGACGAAAGGGGGCTGCGCAAACCGGCCTAGGGGATCCCAAAAAAGATGCCCGCCCTGCCTCCTGCCCTCCCCTCCTTTCCCACACACACACACACACACATCGGCCTCCGCTCGGGAGAGGAGTCGAAGGAGTCTTTCCGGGAGCAAGCGGCGATACTTCTGGTGGCCATTAAAAAATGGGCGATTAGACCGACGCGCCCTCTGCGCGGGGGGGGGGGGGGGCGAGGAGGGGCCTGGCAGGGAGGGAATTGCGCGCGCGGCCCCAGCATCGTTGGCACAACAGGGTGGCGGGAAAGCAACCCCGCCCGTCGAACCGGTATTCGTTGGCTCCTCAAAGTGCCGCCGAATGGGCCTGGATGCCCGTCCATGTGACAGAGCCAACGCCGCTCCTCGTTACAGTTTCAGCCATAATCCTCGCCCCCTGTGCATGCGTACGTGCGCACCAAGTACGCACATCCCCGGCGAGTGCCGGCAAGGGCCGGGCACAACCTGGGCCTCTCGGCCCTCCCTTTTTCCGGAGCCCTAGCGACCGCCCGGAGCCGGCCGCGGCTCTGTGCGCGTTACAAGCCCCCATCAGCCCCCCCCCTCCGCCCTCCCCCACTCCTCCCCCTCCTCACCCCTTTCCCTCCCCCTCCCCCCCGTCCTGCGCCCCCACCTCGCGCACCGGTCAGCCCTTTGGGTAGAAAGAGCGCCAACACCCATTCACCTCTGAAGAGACCCGCGCACACACGCACACATACATACATACATACACACGCACACCAACCATGGGAGACTATTACTACTCGCACGGTGCCGACCCGTCGATGATGGGCGCAGTTGGTGGCATGTACGGCGCGACCATGGCCGGGGCCCACGGCGGCATGATGCATCCCGCCATGCCCGTGGCCGCCAACATCGAGCACCCGCCTCTTCCGCCTGGCGCTAAGCTCCCGTCCATCAAGATCGTGGACTTGGATCGGGACTCCATCTCCTTCGTGGTTACCGACTGCGACCTGAGGTGCGCCCCGGGTCTCCCTGCGCCCACTGTCTCCCCTGTCCCATCCAACCTCTTCGCTCCCCGCCCCTCTTTCTTCGCACACCCCCCCTCCCCCCTCCCCCTCCTCTCCTGCCCCCTCCCCTCACACGCAGCCGCAACAAACACGACAAACAGCCTCGCCAATGCCATGCGACGCATCCTTCTCAGTGAGATCCCCACCATCGCCATTGAGCACGTCTTCATCAAGGAAAACACCTCGACGCTGGTGGATGAGTTCGTTGCGCACCGGCTTGGTCTCTTGCCCATCCGGGCGCCGCTGGCCATGATCGAGCAGTTCCAATTTTCCTGGGACTGCCCATGTGACACGAGCTACTGCCAGAACTGCGCGGTGGTCTTCCAGCTGGACATGAAGCACGACGGGACCAATGGCAATGTCCGGAACTTCAAGATCTCCCCCCTGGATGGCACGGCCACCAATGACCTGCTGGTCACCTCGGCCGACCTGCACCTGGCGGTGCCGACCGATCGAGTGCTGGCCCTGAGCTCCGGGTCGCGGAGCTTCGCCGAAGACCGCCAGGCGGACGCCTCGGCCGCGGTGCTGAGCTCGGGCGGTGCGCCGGCCGCCGTGGCCGCGGCCGCCGATGCCGCAGCCGCCCTCGATACCAAGGGCATCTCGGAGTTCAGCCGGGCCCGGCCACTCATCGGGGATGTGATCATCTGCCGGCTGGGCGCGCATCAGGCGCTGAATGTCATCTGCCATGCGCGCAAGGGCATCGCCAAGCAGCATGCCAAGTGGTCGCCGGTCACGGCGGTGGCCTTCGGCTATGACCCGAACAACCTCCTCCGGCATACGACCCTCTGGTATGAGCGTGACCCGGTGGCCGAGTGGCCGCGGACCGAGGTGCACGCGGCGGCTCGCGCGGCCGCCGGCGAGGCCGATCTGGACCCGGGGCTGGTGGCGGCCGGCGCTGCCGGCGCGGCGGCCGGCCCCGGCGCCGCGGGCCAGCACTCGTACGACCCCAATGCCGAGCCGGACACCTTCTACTTCCGGGTAGAGTCTTCCGGTGTCATGCGTCCGGAGGAGATCGTCCAGTCGATGATCCGCGTGCTGCGCAAGAAGCTGCAGGTGGTCCATGATGAGACCCTTCCGATTGCCAACGCCAGCGCCTGAGTGAAGCAGACGGGCGAGACGACGCACGACCGCCGGTGCACACGAACACATACACACACACACACACATTGCACACATTGCGCACCCTCCGGTCACCTTCTCTCCTCCCTGGGAAGCCTGCCCACAAGTGCCCGCCTCTCCCTGGCACGGGGGCATACAACATGCTTGGACACCCACCGCGGAATTAGACATGCACATATCTCCGAGTTTGAGGCGAGGGGCGGTGGCGGAGTGAGAGGGGGATCTGTGTGTGGCGGTGCGCGGCTGCCACCTCCGCGGTGATGCTAAATGGTGGCGTTCGAGTCCATGGAGGGCGGGGGCACGGGGGGGGGGGCGGGGGCGGCGGCCAGGGACGAGTCCACAGGCGAGGGGCTGTGGCCCCACAAACCAAGGAGGCGAGGCACCAAGGCGGATGTCTCCATCCGGCGGGACCGAGAGGCATGCGCCACGGGCCAACGCCCGAGGGGGCGACGGCCGGCGGACGGCCGTGAAAAGGGGCACGAAATCGCCATATTAACTCAGAACACCCTATCTCCATTTCCCCGGTGTTCTGAAGGTTGCAGCTGAGGCTGGACATCACGCAGACGGGCCAGACATTTGCTGGTTGGCTCGCGCGCTCCACTGCCCCAAGGTCGGCCCCGCGTTCTCCCCGAGACGGGCGGGCGGGCAGGAGGGGGCGGGCGGGATGCCCGCCAGGTGCTCACCCAAATTGTTCTCCAAACCCCTTCTCGTGCGGGCCGTGTCGATGCCGTGCCCTGTGTGCGTTCCACACGCATCCTGCGCGCCCCGCCCGTTGGTTCCCCCTGCCTCACGCGGCGTTTCACCAGCCACACTGTGCGCGGCTGGCCCCGAGCGGCCCGCGCGCGCGCGCAAGCGTAGGCAGGAGGAAAGAACCAAGTTGCGCGATGGGCTCCGCCCTTCCTCCGGTCCTCCTGCCGCCTTCGCCCTGGGGAGGGGCAGACAGGCAGAGAGGCGCAGAGGACACCCCGGGGAAATACACACACAAACAAGGCCGAGAGAAGAGAGGATGCCCCCTTCTCCTCCTCCTTTCCCCCTCCCCCCACCGGGCTGTCACTGGTGTTGCGGCATTCACAAGGAAAAAGCACACACCGCGCACACACGACACGCGGGTCCGTGGAGAAGACATGCTGCTCCTGCTCTCCTCTCTGCCGCCGCGGGGAGGAGGAGAGGGAGGCAGGACACGCGCGCGCGACCCCCCCACCCCACCCCCGGCACGCATGCCGGACCAAGCAAGACGACGCCTGCACACGCGCGCTTCGAAGGGAGACTATATTGGATGCGCCGGTTTATAATGTTGGCGAGAACATGAAATTGTGAATATGATAAACGCCACAGCACACTACTGACACGCGCGCACTCCCGCGCACACACGCTCAGAGGCAGTCGGCCGCATGCGAGAGGCGACGGACGGCCCTGGCAGCAAGGAGGAGGGAGGGGGACAGTGGCGGCAGAACGAGGGCGGTGACAGCAAAGCCACCGGCCACGGAGGCGCGACCATGTGCGAATCCAAGGCTATCCAAGGGCAGAGGCAACTTGGAGCGCTTAGTCGAAGAGACCGAAGCCCATATCCTGTTGTATCGCACGGCGACGCGGGGAGGGTGAGAGAGAGAGGGAGAGGGAGAAAGGAGCCAGGGAGGGGGAGCAGGCAGGGGAGAGGGCGGCAAAAGAGGGGGATCAAGAGAGGGAGGGGGACGGGGGGTCAGCACGCGGGAGGGGAGAGGGAGAAGGAGGCGGCGGCGTTGCAAGCATGGCAGAGGCGCATGCATGTGCGGCGACGCGCGGAGGAAAAGAGCGGGGCTGGCTGCTATGCGCAGGCGTACCTCATCGGACTCGTCGGACTCCTCCTTCTTCTCCTCCTTCTTCTCGGCGGCGGCGGCGGGGGCGGCAGCGGAACCGGAAGAAGCGACAGCAGCGCCACCGGTGGGGACGGAAGCGAGCTTGGAGGAGCCCTCGGCGATGACGGCGTTGATGTCCTTGCCGGAAAGCTCGGCAATGACCTTCTCAACGACGGCGGCCTCGGCCTCAGCACCAACGGAGGCGAGGACCTTGTTGATGGTGTCGGCGGTGGGGGTCTCACCAGAGAGGGCAGCAAGGAGATAAGCGGCAATGACCTTCATCTGTGTGCGCGGCACGGACACACGGGCGCAGACGCGTGGGCGAGGAGGGGGGAGGGGGCACAACAGGGGGGGGAGGAGATTGCGTTAGGGGGGAGAGGAAAATCGGATGCACCGTGCATCGGCCATGTGCCCGAGGGAGGCGTGGTCGCAGCAGTGCGCGCGCGCGCGAGCGAGCGAGAGAGAGAGAGAGAGAGAGAGAGAGAGAGAGAGAGGGGCATAGGGGAGGAGGGGGGACGCACTGTGGTTGTATGTACGTTACGGATAGATCGCTAATGCGAATTTAAACGACAAGCGTACAAAAACGATCTGCTTATTGGAAAAAATAAGCAAAATCCTGGGGACGCTGGCCTGGGAGGCGGCGGCCGGGCGCCCCCGGAAAAACCTCCCACCGAGAGGGCCACACACCCAGGGCCGGCACGGGGGGCAGGGGGGGGGGGGGACACACACGCACCACTCCCTCCTCCGAGACCCGGGTCGTCCTCTGTGGCCGGCTGGCGCGCTGGGGGAAGCCAGAGGACACGCACGTTCCCGCCCCCGCCCCCGCCCCTGGGCAGGATGCCTGGCCCCGAAAACACCACGCAGTAGGCCCAGCCCCGCATTGCCCCGGGATCGCCCAACTGCCAGGGGACGCAGGCCAGGCAACCGCCGCGTCCGTCCCCGCACCGGGCGCGGCCACCCCCCTCCCCCGACGGAGGTCGGTCGACTGGTCAGCCGAGCCGCCGGGAGGGGGGAGGAAACGGGCCACGACCCACGCCCTCTGATGTTGCCCGCGGCGGGCATTCGACATTTCCCCGTCCAGGTGGAAGGGAGCATGATTATGTGTGCCCTATGCCCCTCCTTGCGTCGGCCAACGTTAGTGCCCACTGGTGGGCGGTGGAAAGCGTCCCGGAACTAGCCATCCTGGCCTTGCGCGTGCATATGCGCGCATACTCGCACTGGACGAGGGATATATAGCTTGGAATATAAAGTCCCAGCATAAGATGGTGCTTTGTCGAGGAACGGCACACACGCGTGAGGAAGTCCCCCCCCCCCCCCCCCCCCCACCAGGTTTGATCTGGAGTGGTGGTCTTGCCTGCCGCTGTATGCCTCCATCTGGTGGGAGGGGGGTGAGCAGCAGGGCCGCCCCACCAGCCCAGAGGCCTCTTCTCCCTCGTACGCCGGTGTCCCCCCCCTCCTTCCGCCCGTTCGCGAGCCTCCGCCAGGCCCAGGGTTTCCCATTGCGCCAGGCGGTGGCATGTCGGACCGTCGCGACCATTGGCACAAAGCCCTCACGCGACGAATTTCGCGTGCACGACGCCAGATGTCGGGAATCACGCGACATAGGGTATAGTCGCACGCCCGTTCGGCACCCTACTTCGTGTTCGCGGGGTGTGGATTTCAGTATGTATGCCTGGTGGTTCGGCCGCTCAGGGGCACTTCTGGAAAATGGCACAGTCACACCCATCCAACCGCCACTCGGCGGGGAAGTTGTGCGAGTGGGCCGTTTTTTTGTCCCCCTATCGCCATCCCCGGCTCGCCAGCATAAAACCCATGCCCAGGGTTTATCATCTCCCTCGGGTCTCCCTCCCAGGCGCGCTAGGGCCCCAAAGTCCATGGAGACCTAATTCCCTGAGGCGGAGGTTGTCGAGGGCTGGGCCCGGCGTGGGGGGGCGGGGCGATTAGGCCCTGCCTGGTGCTTCGCGAGTTGCATGGGCGTCTCCTTCCCAGCCCCGACGGGGTTTCCCTGAATGCGTGGGCCCCCGGGCGGCGTGGCGTGGCTCTGTGAGGCGGTCTTGTCGCCGGCGCGCCGGCCCGCCGGCCCGCACCTCGTGCGGCGCCCAGCTCAGGGGACGCACCCTGCCCTTGGGGCTGCCTTCTGAAGGCTGCGCGTGGCCTCTCGCGTCGCGCCAAGGACCAGGGTCGCTCGCCGCCCCTTGTGGCCGGGCGGACTGGCCGGAGGGGGGGGGGGGAGGAGACATTGGTGGTTCGTGCCCCACATCCGGGGGAGGACGGCACGGAGGGGGGGGGGGGGGGGACACCGGGCTCTGTGGAAGCCGGGCACACGCGGCTCTGCCCGCTTTCATCCAACCAGGGAAGGGTGTTTTTGTCCCGCGAGGGGGGGGGGGGCGGCGGCCTCGTGTGGCCAGTCCCGGCGCACAGCCCTTGTTGGGCGACGAGGGGGGGGGGGGGCGATGATGGGGTGGTCCCCCTTCGTTGCCGATGTAGCCCGGCCCAGGGGGCCTCTCGGCGCCCTGCCCCCCCCC